ATGGACTGCTTAAAATAACAAAAGGTAAGAAGAACTTTATTTAACATTGCTGCATTATATAGTCTCTGGTATGCTTTAAATTTGCTGCTGTAAAAACGGACTATATATAATCTCAGATTTGCTACTGATTGAACAGATTGACGGCCGTAGCCTTGCAGTCCTAAAGAATTTATCATCTGAACTCAACATTTATAAATCACACCTGCAATTGCGTGCCTTTTTATGTGAATTTTTTTTTTTTTTTTGGCTACAAACACACAACAAACAATGATATGCCTCTAAGCTGCTCCCTTAATGTGGAAACCACTACAAACACACCGGTCACGGAGAGCATTGTTTTCATTCCAGGACCTCCTCTCCCCACATTGACATGCTGGGTCCATCACCAAGTGATATTTCGGGACCTCATAATGAATGCGGAATTTGTGCCTCTATATACTTACTCTGTTCCTCGTCTCATAATTAATAGCGGTCACTAGATGTCATCAAACTATAACACATGGCATTTTGTCGCAATAACCTGCTCTCACAAATGACATATAGTGTAGTATTTTACAGGAGGACAGCCTCAAAGGCAGTGTTGCCTTTTCTATTTTACTATGGGCAGAAAGTAAGAACATATAGCAACAAGAAAAGTATGAAGCTGGAAAATCCTGACAATATAGTGAAGCAGTCTAAGTCAAAACAATAATTTTGGTCACACTAGAGGAAACGCAGCGTTAGTTCAGGCAGGGCACTGAAACTGCTCCTCCCCGGATTCACTGAGCACTTCCTCAAACAGCAGAGCCTTTTCTATTAAATCTAACTGTAACCATTTGCTATAAATGGTCATTTCCTTGATATACAGTACAGTAAATGTCTCTGACTGAGGTAAAATACTACTTCAATAGTATTAAAACTCTCTACAGTTTAATGAATCTTTTGACAACAGCCATGTGGGAAATCAAACTTCTAAAAACGCCAGAAGTCCCACTGACTGTCTGTGAGCCTGATCACTGATCATTCAGACATTCAATCAGATGTTGTGAACCCCCTCAAATTGCACATTAAATAACATATCGGGCAGAAATTCATCCTTCTAAAACATGGTTAAAATTGGGCTTAACCTTTACAGTGTATGCCTGGCTTAACTGTACATAAAGTAGTTAAAACTAGCGCCACTTTGACCAGCTATATAGTCAATGCTGCATACATATTGATGACTCATTCACATAATACGAGGTGGGTTAGAAAGCTTCCAGGACTGGGGGCACAAAAACTTATTACAAAAAAATGTATATAAACTGCAAGTTTTCCCTTCTGAAGTAATCCCTCTCACGTCTAATGCACATTTCCATCCTGGTCCATCGTCATGGCCCTCTTGGTGGCTTCCACGCCCAGTAACCGGGTCTCCTTGATGACCCCCTTGAGCTTGGGGAAAGGAAGAAAATCACACGGAGCCAGGTCGGGTGAGTAGGGAGGTTGCTTCAGCACAGAGATGTTCTTCTTGGCCAGGAACTGCCGGATGCTCAGGGCGTTGTGAGCCGGCATGTTGTCCTGATGAAGCAGCCACGACTTGTCCTGCCACAAATCTCACCTCTTCTCGCACACTGAACAAAGCAATCATAGCTCACACAGCACGCTTCGTACTTCGTACTTATGTACTTTCACTTAAGCAGATTTTTTAAATGCAGGACTTAAAATCTACTTGTAATGGAGAACATTTCATTGTTGTATTGGCACATTTTCTTTAGTAAAAGATACCAGGGTGATACCAGCCACAGAGTATTAGATGGTATAAATCAATAATGTTATCCAGTTTGGATCGACCTTAAGATCCCATTAAAAAAAACAGCAGATGGTACTTTTTTTGTTTATTACTTCTGTCACTCACCTCTCCACCCCCATTCTCTCCTCTTCACCTGCTTTTCATTTTTGTTCTGTTCCTCTCTCAGAACTTCTTTCTGGGCTTTTCTCCAGTTCACATGATGAGCTGATGGCCAACAAACAAACACAGGCCACAGTCTTCGACGGGCAGAGAGGACACAGAGCAGAAGGGCAGAACAGCAAGGTTGCTGTATCACTTTCAGCATGATCCCTCTGCAATGCCTACTCACCGTACCTCACCAGCAGCAACACCACTTTTTCAAGTGAGATGATAGCTGGTTAAAAAAGTCCACATGAGCCAAAATAAAGGCAACAGGAAGGTGCAGCGAGCAGAAGAATCACCCTTTGCCCTGAAGTAGTTTTTACATGAATTCAGTCAGATTAACAGTTAAATGTGTTTCTGATGTGGGTTATTAGTGACAATTATGATGTGACCTGTGTGTCATCATTTATATATATACATTTATAATTACTATCTTATGATTACCTCCAAAAATGTATTAGGAAATACGGAATTTTTGAGGCAGATATAGATATCTGATGGAAAATCATAACAGATCAAATGATTTTAACCTTTTTTACATACACCCTGTTTGTGTCCAAGAATGGATCAAGATAAAACACCACTTGTGGTCATGTGACCAGAGTTACACACATGTAGGTCCCAAGATGACAACTGCCCTGAAGGAAAGCCATGGGAAACGGTTCAGAAAAGCTTGTAAAATAAACTCCCAAAACACCAGAGTGAACAGCATTAGTATGTCTCTGTTGAGGCCAACACTGATATTTGAGGGTTTAAAAAACAAAGAATCTACAGAGATAGCATGCAAGACAAAAGGTTTTGGTTTGTATTCCTTATTTTGTTATTAAATGAGAACAAGTAGGTCCCAAGGACATTTTACAACTACATCTTTTTCTGTTCTGCCATACACTCCAATTTATTAGGTGCACCTGTGTTATCCAATACTACAGCCCTGCTTTGGTTGAAGCTGTTGTAGAGAAGCACTGATTCAAATGTATTTTAGGGGATGTAGAACTATTATTTTCTATCAATGATATCTACAGTTTCAGCAGAAACAGCACTTCGACACCGAAGTACTGTACACGCTGGAAACACTGACATTCATTTGTTTACATGTGTGTGTGTGTGTCTTTGTGTTCGTGTGTCTAAAGTGTTGGTAAATGGTTTTAAACTCTCCAAAGGGGGAGTTCTAACCACAAAACGCCCGTTTTGACTCCAACAATATGGCAGCCATTATCTGTTAGCAAGGATGGGACTAGAGTGAGAAAATTATCACTGCTTACTCCCCGACCTTAACCCCCCTCCAACAGCTCTGTATTAAAAGGTTCCAGATTTCCAGTTATTTAACACATGAGCGAGCACGATAGAAAAGTGCTGTCTATCGTTCTTTCCGGGCGTAAAGGTTTAATCATGTCAGATACGTCAGGATTTCTTGTCATCGAAATCCCACCGCTGTCGCTTTGATTTTTCTCAGCCTGCCTTGCTGTCTGTCCTGTTTGTGCGTGTACCTGCTTCACCGTCTGCTGACGTCCTGTCAGCCTGTCCGGACACCTGCGTATCCACATGTCCTGACACATGTCCTGGTTTTCAAATTATTAATGTCAAGGAAGCATTGGGCAGGGCCCATTCCTAAAATACAACCTGGGTATTTAGATGCAGCAGAGCTTTAAAGATAAGGCTGCTGTTTTTCTCTGTTTTTGTTATTTTCCACAAATCCTATACAGAGACTAAAACCAACAGTGAATTTCAAGTACTCACCATAATGACACAGCATTTGCCAAGACCTCTTAGCAAACTACACTGCCCTGAGATGAAACTGAAATAACTAAAAAGTGTTTTTTTGTGGGAATGTTAATGAGAAAAAAACCAAACCTACTCTTAAAGCAAATATAAGGTGAAGGGAAGGTTAAGCTAAAAATGCTCTGAATGTTGAACCCACTCCAACAGCTCTACACACCCTTAGTCTCACATGTACAATAACAGAGATTCAGCTCAGACACCAGAACATCATCATATAAAGACCAGAGCACAGCAATGCAGGTGGACCCACAGGTCTATTCCATGGGGGGAGTTATTAATGCGTTGCACAAGGCCCACACAGGGGAGAAAGGGCAGAAAGGAGAGCTCATTAGCCATAATGCAGAAGAGGAGGAAAACAGCGTGAAAGGATCTCACACTCTGACATTGCTTCGAAAATCAAGCTCGTTGTGCTTCAGCTGAACTGAGTGCAGTGAAACATGTTATAGATTTATTCTGCAGAAGCAGACAGTCACTGAAGACCGGCTGGGGACAGCAGTAATAATAGGAGTATGGGGAGTAATACAGGAGTAGAAATAGACTTTTTTCATAGTATTAATCAATTCAAATACCCGACAATGGCTCTGACATCCTAGAGATGAAATGACTTATTGATTGTGTTAGGTTGAACAAGAGGCTCGTATTATTAAAGACCCCCTTTGCTCAAGAATGTTTTTTTAAATTTATAAGCCTGGGCTCATTTGTATATATTTGAATAATCATGGTCATTACATTCACAATATTGGGCAGGGAGCAGAGGTTTGCTGATTTTCTTTGTTGAAAATCTCTGTTAGACTATATATTTTTCATAGCAGAGTATTTTTAAATACCCTAGAACATCTCTGGAGGGGATCTTTAAGCACACATTATAACTTTCCTTATTCCTTTTAGGCTGGCTGATAGAGGATGGAGCTTATCAATTAGTTCAGAGACCCCGAAGGCGTATTAAGCTCTCTAGTGTAGCCGCACTGGGGGTGTCGACTCTATTGAACTATAGCCACACTTAGAGAGTGCATTCGCTGTGCTTCAGCTGGCCGCTGATGCTGATTCAAAGTAGGTGTCCCAAGCAAAACACCTTCAGCCACCTTTCCTTATACACACACACACACACACACACACACACACACACACAAAGCCTTACGTTAAAAAGTCACAGTAGCCTAGACACTAGTAAAAAAACATTTGCTGGTCATTTTCATAGAAATTACAATTAAGAAATAATCCCCAGATTAATCAACACTGAAAATCATTATTTTCAGGCCAGATGCTGGTATTATACATATATATCAGTATTGAGACTTAGCAGCAGACCTACCTGGTTGATGATGTAGATGCCGTAGTCGATCCTCTGCCGTCTGAGGATAGGGTGGAGGTAGTGGAGCCAGTACTTCAGGTGGTTTTCTCTGTGACGAAAAGGAATGATGATGGCTACCTAGATAATAGAGATATTTCCAGTTAGCAATTTGCATTCAAGAGCAAGGACATTTAGTATAAAACTGTTGCAGAATTAAAGGTAAAATGAAATTTATAAATAAATAAATAAATACTGTCAGCTCTCTGGATAATTGAAATTAATTTTTCCAACAAAAATCCCCAAAATTGGATATTTTCATCTTACCAAAAGGGAGAATATTCTGCTATTTTTATTCTTAAATTACAGAAAATTAAATTTTGCTGGGGTTTGTACTGTTGCTAGAGCAAAACAAATTAGCAGATGACGTCAGCTTGGGCTGTTTTTCACTGTTATTTTAGATGTTTCATAATAATGTATAATAAGGTTTTTTGTCTCCCTTCTTCTTCCTTTAGATGAACCCTTTACCAGAATAAACAAAAGTGAGCACACGACTCCTACTTGCTGTGTCATCAGTTTACCACAACTACGTATACTTATTTTTGCAGGGCATAAATTCCCATCCATTGTTCTTATACTGACAGAAATGGGCTTCCATAATAAAATGTGTGGCTATACACAGTATATTTTATGTGAAACAAAGGCAAATATACAGACTTTCCATCTAGGTCGACAGTCGGGAGGGGTGTAGCGGCCTCCCTCTGTCACGTTGGGATTTTCCTTTTGCACTCGTTCCATCGTCATCTGGGAACTGAACTCGATCAATAAACGCCCCACTGAGGAAAGATGGACAGAGAGAAGAGTTAGCGAAATGTAGATAACAGATAAGACAGAGGAAAAACAAAATAATTGACATACAGTAATTAACAAAATAATATACATACTGTATGTCTTACGTTGCATATGTGCCTGACCACTAGGGCTGCATCAAGTCGACATAATTGATTACATTGACTTTGAAAATTAACCGACATTAATATTTTTAAACCACCGCATTGTTATTTTATTCCTATTAACCTTTTTATTTCTAAAACTCCTTAATATGTAGTCAAAACAAATGTTTTTTCCCAATATAACTACATAGCTGGTTTCCAACTGGCAGAAAAAATCCATAGAAGAAAAAAATCACTATGTAACTGCTGCGTGCTTACAGTCATCTTTGGACTCAGTCACTGGACGTCTCCAGTCCGTGTTATAGTTTTAGAAAACCATGGAGACTGCAGCAGAGTCGGCAGAGAACGACTCGTTTGCAATAGAGGTTCATTGTAAAAGTTTACAAAGACCCAAGGTTTCTAAAGTATGGGAGTACTGGTAACACTTTATAACAACTACACCTTATTCATCCTTAGTTAACCATGAATAAGTACTTAATTAATGATGAGAAAAGCATTAATTAAGCATGACTAACGATTTACTCCTGGTGACTAAGGTCATGCATAAGGTTGTTATTCGCTGTTTATTCATACTTAATAAAACATGAATAGATGATTTATTAATACTGCAATGCATGAATATGTCAGGGAGTTGTTAATTGTTAGTTACTGTTTTTTGTGATCCCTTCTAAAGTGAAG